AAAGATCACCTTTTCAAGTAGACTACTTATGTGGAAATGCTTTCAAATACATGGAAAGTCATGTATAGTTTTGATCTGATGATTTAACAACCTTAAGCACCAAACGTACAGACGGCACTGAAATCTAAATTTAAAAAATATGCTACAACATTACATATAATACTTTATAACCATCAAAATACTATAGAAGAAAAAGCTGTAATGATAGGACAAAGTGTCTAGAATATGCTCTTATATGAAAAAAAAAGTACAAAACAACACATAAAATTCTCTTTTATAAAAATGTGTGTGTGTCTGTTGGTGGGAATGCAAATTGGTACAGCCTCCATGGAAAACAATCTAGAGGTTTCTCAAAAAATTAAAAATAGATCTACCTTTTGATCCAGCAATTGCACTTCTGGGTATTTTTCCAAAGAAAACCAAAACAATAATTTGTAAAGATCTATGCACCCTTATGTTCATGGCAACACAATTTACAATAGCCAAAATATGGAAGCAACCTAAATGTCCATCAACAGATGATTGGATAAAGAAGTTATGGTTCATACATACAATGAAATATTACTCAGTCATTAAAAAAATGAAAGCCTACAATTTGCAATGGCATGGATGGACCTAGAGATTATTATGCTAAGGGAAATACGTCAGACACAGATAAATACCATATAATTTCACTTATATGTAGAATTTAAGGAACAAAAAGAACAAATTATTCAAAACAGACTCACAAATATAGAGGACAATCGGATGACAACCAGAGGGAGGGGGTTTGGAGGGCTGAGAGAATGGCATGAAAGGTTAAAGAAGTAGAAATTATTCGTTGATAGGTTGTCACAGGGATGAAGAGCATGGCATAGAAAATTTATTTAGCATTAATGAAATGGCTAAGTAGAGAACCCAAAGAGAGAAAGAGCAATTAGAGAGATTGTTTTAGAAACTATATAAATGTCTAACCAATGTACTGTATACTTGAAACTAATGATAAAATAAATTTAAAAATGAATAAATAAATAAAAAGGATAAAGAAAGAAATGTGTGTGTATCTGTGTGTGTTCAGAAAGCATACTGGAAATATTAGGCAAAAGAGAAGTTAAATGATACAAGTGATATAATTATGGTTGAGTTTTTTCTTGTAGTTTTGTAATTTTCTGCACTGAATACCAGTTTATGGGCCCATAAAAACTACTTTAAATTCAAATGGTTCCCACCACAATTATCATAGAGCCCCTGGATTGTGTGTCTATCTTTACTAACTGAATCTTTGAGCTATAGAGTCTGAGGATGAGCTAGCCGCTCTGACATATTTGATTTTATTTAATTCTCACAAGTATAGTAAGAAAGATTTTACCACCCCCATTTTATACATTCAAGAAACATGCTGAGAAAGGTAAAGTGACTCGCCCAGGTTACACAACAATGGTGGTTAAGACCTGAACCTAGGTCCTCTCAATCTATAGCCAACAAAATTTCCCTATCTGTAATTATAGTAATTGAATCCTAATGAACATAAGGACTGAAGTATAGTTGTCAATAAGATGTGCAATAGGCAAAACGAGATAAGATGTTTAAAAAAGCAGAGCTGGCATTATATATCTTTTAAGTAAATGTACCTAGTGCTTTTAGTAACCCAGATACCAAATATGAAAAAAACTAAGCTCATCATATGATGTAGAAATGGGAGGCCACACCAAATGAAAAGAAAGAATAATGGATATGGAATCTGAAGAAATCATTGTTAAGCTTAGCCATGCCAATGACTAGCTATAAGAATCACTATCCCTCTGGGTATCAGTATTCTAATTAATAAACCATAGGAGTTGAAACATTAAACATTCCCTTTTCTAACTCTAGAATGCTATGGTCCAGCAAAAAGCATGTAGCTAAGTCAAGTGCAAGTAAGACTGGCTCATTTTGTTTTTATAACCTTCATTTACTGTAAAGAAAGACTCTGGATTTCTGTAATAGCCCTTGATTCACATTAACAGTTTCCTACTCGAGGTTTATAATACCTTCCTTACATTTCCTACAAGGACATAAAGGATATAGTGGCTTAATGAATATAAAGGGATACAGAATGTCATGAAGAAAATTAGCTTTGGAGTCAAAAAGAGTTTAAACCTGAATTCCCCAAACTTAAGCTGGTAAGTTTGTCCCTCTCTGAACTAGTCTCCTTATCCTCAAAAGGGAAATAATACTGTCTGCTTCATAGGATTCTCATAAGAATGAAAAATGATAACATAGGAAGTTTACCTGCTACATTTAAAAACTAACTTTAGACTCTATTTCCATTTTTAAACCTACCTCATAATGTGAAATCCTTTGTGATTCAAACTGTAGCAGCACTCCACATACATTACAAAAGTTATCTGTAAAACATTCAGCCTTTCCCTGTTCATTCCAAGTTGTATCTATGAATAAAATAAAGGGAGGTGAGACTATATATCCCATTAACGAACATTTAGAAGTATCATTTTCATTCTTCAATTATATATTATTTTATATTACACTTCAAATCTGAGTGCTTGTGGATCTACAGTAACAACTTTTTGCTTATCGAGTATGCAATTTAATATGAGCATATTAAGTCTGCCTCTAATGTCTAATATGGCAAGAGTTACTTATTTAGTAAGATAAGTCTAGGCAATACTATTCCATAGGAAAAGTTATAGGGATACCAGTAACTTCATGAGCTTCATGGAATGATTCGGGGCACCAATAATGACAGGATTAAAACACCCAGCCTTGTGATTTTGTGTTTCACAGCAAACAATCCATTGTTTTAAGACTGTCAATTATCTGGAGCTATGGCTCCAATGTTATCTAAAAATCACGTGAAACCGCAAACAGACTTTGCCCATGATGGGCAAACATACTTCATTACTGTATAAATACTAGCACACTCTCCTGGCCAAACAAGTCTCACTCCCCCCACCAAAGCTACAATGTTCATATACTAACATCTAGAAATAATGCTAGAGTGTTTCTCACTGTAACAAATAACACATACCAAAACTCTCTGCATTTGTACTTGAGATCGATACATCTATCTAAAGTTCTTAACAGTTGCAATGTATTCTGTCAAAGTTTATTAGTTTATCTATAGGGTATACATCACAAAACATCGAAAATTTGCTTGCTATTTGGCTGTTTAAATGAAAAAGCTTATACCACATATATTTTCATTGAAAAATGCCAATGATGTATTAAATAGATAAAAGTTATAGAACAATAAATACAGTCAATTTCCTACACTAACAAAAATTAAATATACAGCACACATAAAAAATATGAAAACTATAAATTTAAAAGTGGTTAACTTTGAAAAGTAGGGCTGGGAAAGGAACAAAGTAAGAAAATTTAACATTTTATTCTCTCTGTATAATTGTCTTAATTTTTGCAAAAAGTATGTAGGGCTTTCTATTTTAAAACCTTCAGAGATATTATTTTAAAAGTCGTGTTGTGGTGAAGGTTTAAAGAAGTACAAATTAGTAGTTGATAGAGGGTCACAGGGATGAGGAGCATGGCATAGGGAATGCAGACATCAGTAAGGTAATGGCTATATGTAAAGCCAGAGGGAAGATAGAGTAATCAGGGGGATCATTTCATAAACTATATAAATGTCTAACCAATGTATTGTATACTTGAAACTAATTTTAAAAAGTCATGTTGGATATCTTCAACTAAGCTTAAATTACAGTTCCACTGTATGGACTTAAAAACAACAACAACAACAACAAAAACGCTTACTTTAAAATTGTAGTGCTAAATGATAATTATAATTAGGAACATGTCGGAAATGACTTGAACAGCTAAAAATTTATCCCTATAATATATAATATTTCCTCTAAATTATTTTAAAATTGTTTTAAAATATATGATTTATCTGACTCTAAAATCAGCAAGGTAAAGAGTTTAACTAAAATGTATTTCAGGACTTCCATTGTTTCAGAATTAACTATTATATGCAATCTGAACATAGTGGCAAGATTTTGAACTTACCATTAAAATCTTTAATAATAATTAAATATTGAGAGATCTTTGAAAACATGGCCGAGTGAGAGACATTCCCAGGTCTCTCTCCTTGAACAACAATAAGCTCAACAAAAACACCCAAACTGCACACCAGCACGTCTGAGAGTAGGATGTGCACATAAGAGCTACCATAGGTCAGAAACCTGGTGTCGGGTGGTGGACTGGGCAAAATAAAGAAGCTGTCTCTTACAGCTGCGAGAGCTACCTGTAGGGGGAGGGGGAGGGGAGAAGGTGCGGAGAATTCCCTGAACAGCCCTGCCTGGGAGTGCTGTTAGTTCCACACAGCCAGTAGCAGGGCCAAGTCATCAGGGCAGAAAGCAGAGAAGTGGACAGCAGAGAAACAACAGTTGATTTTTGCCGACCGCGGTTGCAAAACCAAGGCTGAGCCACAGCCCCCAAATCCCAATGCAGAGGGCCTCTCTCCTCATACAGTCTGAGACCGATCACCGGAGAGCCCCAGGGGAATCTGATCAAATGTTGCCATGACTGTCGCTGACACTGACAGGGACTGAAACTGAGGGTAGCGAGCATGATTAAATATCTATAAGAAAATAAAAAGGCAGTTTTAAGACTTTATATAAAGTAGGGTTCCAAGAGGCTTAGATGCCACCTATTAGAACTCAAAAGAAAAGTGCCTTCTTTGCAGCAGGCTAAAGAGAGACCTTTATATAATATGTCTTCTTTTTGGAAAAAGAGCAAAATAAACTTCTATTAATGCCAAGGCAGAGATATAGTCCATTAAACACCATGAACAACCAAGGTGACAAGGCATCTCTGAAAGAAAGAGAAAAATCTCCAGAAAATAAGCTTACGGACATAGAAATATGCAACTTAAATGACAGAGAATTCAGGATGGTACTTCTGAAAAAATTCAGTGAGTTCGGAAACGAGTCATATCAACAATTTCAAGGATTGAAAAAACAACTAGATGAGCAGAGCAAAGAGACTGAAACCCTCAAAAAGAAACAAATAGAACTTCTGGAGACGCGGCAAAAGCAGTCATAAGAGGGAAGTTCGTATCATTATAGGTCTATCTCCAAAAACAAGAATGAGCCCAAATGAACTACCTAACGATTCATCTTAAATATTATCATTTGGTAGCAATATAACTTACTACAAAGGGAAAGTTTACTTTAAAAAGACTAAAGGAAACTACTGTTAGATTTTTGAGAATTTCTAAAATTTAACTCATGTCTTTCTTAGATCAACCTTTAATTCCAGATTTTCCCATTTCTAATAATCAAAATTTGAAACTGACACTCGAATTGGGAAATACCAAGGCTTAGTATTTTAATCCAGTCTTTCATTACTGGTGCCCCAGATCATTTCCATAAAGTTACTGGTGCTCCTATAATGTTTCCTCTACAATGGTACTGCCTAAACTTATTGCCATTGACTAATTTGCTCAAACAAGTTTTTGGTCTGCTTTTCTTTATTAAATGTCATTCTATCCCATGCTCAAAATCACAGCCATTCTTCTCCCCTGCATGTCAATTCTAGCTTATAATGTTATTTCATATCCCATCTCTTCCTTTTCATGTCCCATAACACTACCCTAGCTCAGGCCCTCAATGCCTTCGGACATCATTTAGCTTTTTGGTATTTATTGAGGTTAGTCTCAAAAAACTATGGTAGACAATTTGAAAAGAGATAAGAAAAAAATGAGCACACATTGAAGGCCTTTTATATATCAAACGATGTAACTCTTACACCTTTAGTCCTTAAAATGAATCTCCAAAGTAAGTGGCATTTCCCACATTGTGAAAGTTAGGAAATTGGGATTCAGTGAAATCAAAATAATTTGTCACATGTGTTAGTAGAGCTGGAATTTAAACTTTGTTTTCTCTTGACTTTTTCAATTATACATACATAACTTTCTCACATGCTGGAAATGGCAAAGCAAGTCAATGATTTCTAATATAAAGGAATTTACAATTTAGTAAGAAAGGTAAGATGTGTATAGAAAGAACTATCATCCCAAGATCAAAATGTCATAAGTTCTATAAGACATAAGGTACAGTGCTGAGGGGTTTGGGAAAGCTTTCCAGAGGAGAACAGGTTTTGAAATAAGTTTTAGGAGATGTGTAACATTCAGATAAAAAGAGTAGAATAAAATTATTTGTTGGGAGGGGAGAGACAAGACCATGAAGGACAATAATTGAAAGCTTGTGATGGGACCAAACCATAACTGGATTCATTTGGGCATTTGGATTTAATTCTGCATTCAACAAGGAAAACTGGTGACTTAAAATGGAGATAACGAGTTAGGAATCAGTTGCAGGCAACAGGTCATAAGTTTTGAACCAGAAGAGGGCAGCAGGCACAAAAAGGAAGGAATGAATATAAAAGGTGTATCTATCAAAACTAGAGGGTTTTAGAGCCTGAGCTTAGAATTTGCTATGAATATGGTCGGTCTTTAGATCCATTTCATTTAACTGTAAACAATGTTGTTCCTGATGCAAGAAGTAGAGCTTTGACCTTATATGCAAGACATTCACGTACATTTACTTGTCGATGGCAAATTCTTTGTGAGTGTAATATAATAAATGTGTTGATGTTCTGACTGCAGTGTATCAAAAATTAAAATATACAAAAATCTGAAATTAATAAAGAAGATATTGGAGTGATGATGCACATTAAAATGTACTTTAAAGGATTTACCCTATTTTTCTTTAAATAGCATGTTTTCCTAATCAATTCAAATATGATTAAACCTACATTCAAAATTTCAGGAACAAACCTTCATGTAAAAGTCTTTCTTAATCAGTTTCACATCAAATTCACACGCACAGCTTTTTAAAATTACATGCTGAGTTAAAATAAAAATCTCTATGGGTAGTACAATCTACCCACAAGTGATTCTGATAATCAACTATGTTGGGAATTACGGCCCTACAGGATAGGCTCAGATCCTTACACATAATGGTTGTTCAATATCTATTTGGTGACTAAGCTAATTTATATAAAGGCCTGGTCACCTAGAATGATACTTTTCAAGCTAACCGTGCTTTAGTCTAACCTGAAGAAATTTTTTTTAAAAGAAAGGAAGGAAAAAAAGAAGAAAAGAAAAAGAAACTACTCCTTGGCACTACCTCAAATCTGTTTAAATCCCCAGGGTTAAGGCCCAAGAATCTGTATTTTTAAACAGGGTCCCCAAGGAATCTCTTAAACAGCCAACCTAGTGATCCTAGTTTCAACCTTCTACCAAGGTAGTTCTCAACTCTGGCTGCACATTATATCACCTATGTTGTTTTTAAAGCATACTGATGCCCAGGCTCTACCCCAGACCAATTAACCAGAATCTCTTCAGAGTGGTTCCCAGTCATAGTTTGTTTTTGTGGGGTTTTTTTTAAAGCTTCTCAGATGATTCTGTTGC